TGAAGGGCGGGGTTGGCGGATGGTGGAAAGAAAGCGAATTGTGTGAGGGGCCCTCAGGGGACATGGCATTGAGGCGGCCTTTGGCCAGAGCCTGGGGCTGGCACCAGACCAGGGCAGCAGGGCCACCTGGTTGACTAGACACCCTAGGGCTGAGTCGAGAGCCGGAGACCCTGTGTGGGTTTCAACCCCACCCTTCCCAGCAAGGAAACCTGTCTGAGGCCTCCTCCCCCGCCCCACCTATGCAAAGGACAGGTGTGGGTATGTGTGGAAATGGGCAAGACCACATGGCCTTGAAATGGCTTCAAAAACAACTGGTAGCAACTTCTTCCCTTCTCTCTTTCCAACTACCCTGGTGGTGTAACAGGTTATGCTGTAGGCTGCTAACTGAAAGTTGAGCAGTTCAAGACCACCAGGTGCTCCTCAGGAGAAAGAGGAGGTTCTCCAGTTACAGTCCCGAAGCCCACGGGGGTAGTCCTGCTTTCTTTAGGGCTGAAATCCACTGGCTTCAAGTTTGGTTTGAGATGGGGTGGGAGGAGTCGCTGGGTGAGACAAATGGTTAACTCAAAAGGTGGACAGGTGGAGTCTATGTAAGGCACCTGGAAAGAATCAAAAGATGGATAGGTGGAGTCTATGTAAGGCACCTGGAAGGAAAAGCCTGGCCATCTGCTTCAGAAAAACCCTCCCCTGGAACTTTCCCCTATGAGGCAGAGTTCTGTAATGCTCACAGGGGTGCCATGAGCGGGAGCCCATTTAAGGGGACTGGTTTATGGAGTGTGGAGACAGGGAGCTGTGCCTGCCAACCTTTCGTCCTTTGCAGAGATTGAGAAGTGATCCGGTCTCCCTCTGGGTCTTCACATAGAGCTGTCCCCCTGCCTTGCCTGTCCCCACAGCTCTTCCTGCAGACTCTTTTTCCCCGGGGATCCTGTTAAGATCATCCGGGGCCAAGGCCAATACCTGTACGATGAACAGGGGGCAGAATACCTGGACTGCATCAACAATGTGGCTCACGGTCAGTATCAGCCCTCAGGCAAGAGGGACAGGGACACAAGCGGAGTTCAACCCTGTGCACCTGGTCTGAGGGTGTCCTGAAGGCTGCAGCGGGATGTGGAGAACCTAGGTGGTACTGAGCCAACATGTATGGTCAAAGAAGGCCTAGCCTTTATTTACGGTGTAGATCCAAAAGTTTCCCCTGGGTCTGGAGGTCCAAGAGCTGCTAGGCATGGTGCACGGGGTTATGTCAGGACTTTAATCCCCTTGAGCCACTCAGGTGCTAGGTAAGGAAACTGAAGTAGGAATTGTCACCCAGACGGGGGCCACCAGTGCTGACAAAATGAAAAGGAGCCTGAGACTCCGTAGGCAAACTGGAGGTTGATAAAAGTAGACTCCCTGCGTTCCAATCCCTGTCCTCCACTTAACAGCTTTGGGACAGTTTACTTAATTTCTTTATGCCTCGGTGTGCTCACCTGCAAAACAGATCTGATGGATATAATCATAACTTTCGACTTTCAGGTATTGTGGGGGATTAAATGAGGTGGTTGACCTAAGGAACTTCAAATGCCCCTAAGATGTCGTGATAATCCCTGGGTGGTGAAAATGGTTGAGTGCTCAACTAGTCACTGAGAACATTGGCAGTTAAAACCCACCCTAAGGTGCCTCTGCAGAAAGGCCTGGCGACCCATGCTGAGCCGGCACAGCCATTGAAAGGGCTGCGGGTCTGGGAGGGCGGGGGCGCGGCCAGGCGTGGGCTTTGAAAACATGGCAACCGGCTGCTTCCTTTCTGGGTCATCACACACTGAGCTCTCTGCATGCTCACCCTTGGCATTGTCCTTGAGCGAGGACCGCCAGCCCAGCTGCCTGGTGAAGTCAAGCTCGATGACAGAGCCCCTGCCCTTGTCAAAAAGAGGCAACCTCTTTAAAGACATGGGTCTTCCCCACAGGGTCTCCCAGATATTTTCTGCCAAAGAACAGTTTCCTTCAAAAAAATCTGAGCGATGCCTTCTAAGTGTGCCTCCCCAGCACTGGCCTCTCGCTCCCGGGTCTCCAGAGACCCTCCGTCCTCTCCTCCTCCCCCTCAGCTGCTGCATCTCCTCAGGCCAGGCTGCCACGCTAGCCTGGGGGAGGCCAGGACGAGCCGAAAGGGGGGCTGGCCAGGTGACTGAGTGGCCTCTTCCAGTTGGGCATTGCCACCCTCTCGTGGTCCAAGCGGCACATGAGCAGAACCAGGTGCTCAACACCAACAGCCGGTACCTGCACGACCATATCGTTGACTATGCGCGGAAGCTTTCGGAGACCCTGCCAGAGCCGCTCTGTGTGTTCTACTTCCTGAATTCTGGGTGAGTGGATGGCACCAGCCCCGCGGGCGGGGTGGGGGGCAGTGAGGAAGAGAGTTGCTCCATGGGGGCCTAACAGACTGAGGGGACTTGCCAGTGGGGCAGCCCTGGACGAGCCTGGCTCCAAGCAGCCCAGCTTGGGACCGTTTCCTCGCCTCGGTCAGGGATGACGTTTGTTAGCTCCCCGCAGGGTCTCTCCCGGCCCCACAGCGTGCAGGGTGCCGTCACACTGCTGAGCAGCAGAAACATCAAGTGATCTGTCAAAGACAGGCAGCATGACAATGTGGCCTTTTGGTGAAGGGGAGGGGATCACGAAGGGGCGGGGACCTGTGAGGGGCCAGGGAAGGTGTCCCTGAATCTGTGACATGAAAGCCGAGAACTGAAAACTGGCCAGGAGACTGCCAGCCGAGGAAGGGGTGCTGCCCACCCATGGGAAGGACTCTTGTCAAGGCTGGTCGCCTGAGGAGCAGCCCATGCAGAGGGCCTGCAGCAGGAAGGGGTGGCAAGCCAGCACATCTGCGGAACGCAAAGGAGGCCAGGGAGAGAGAGGAGGGGGAGAGCACAGACTGGCCCCAGAGAGGATGGCAAGGCCCCATCACCCAAGGGCTCAGCAGCCAAGCAAGGACTGTCACATCGTGAGAGCAGTGGGAAGCCCCGGGGGGGTTTTCATCTGCGAAGTGGAAGAGCAAGAGCAGCCGTGGGGGCGTAACGGTTACTCATTGGGCTGCTAACTGCAAGGTCAGCAGTTTGGAACCCCAGGCATTTTGTGGGCAAAAGATGGGGATTTCTACTCTCTTAGAATTACAGACTCAGAATCCCACAGGGCAGTCCACCCCACCCGACAGGGGCACTGGGAGTTGGAATCCACCTGATGGCAGTGAGTTGGTTTGGTTTTGGTCTCGCAAGAGCATGATGGGCATGAGAGGGGGCAGGAGCCTGGACTAGGGCATGGAGAAAGGGGCAGCTCCCGAGCACCTGGAAACACCACAGCACAGCTGGGAAAGCCATTGGAGTAGCAGACGATCAGCATGGTCATTGTCATTTACGTAGGACACTCAACAGCTCCTTGCAGCAGTTTCTGGGAACTCTTCATTTTACCCAAGGTCATCCATCTAAGAGGATGGAGCTAGAGTGGGAGCCCAAGGTCATTGGATGCCTAGTCAGGTTCTCTGGGCAGAGCAGAGGACTGGGCCAAGAGTCGGCACTTCCTCAGTGGTAGGAGGACTATCTTGGCAGTGTCCTCCACCCCGTATATCCTCAGGCGGTTCCAGGGACTTTCAAGGTGCCAGACCCAGTGGTCTCTCTGCCGCCCCACCCTCCTGTCTCTCGGCAGTATTTGACAAATGGAACCACCTTCTCAAGAAACAGTCTTCTTGCTTCTGGGGCCCTGTGCGCTTCTGATTTCCCTCCTCGTTCTCTGGCCTCTCCTCTGCTGCTCCTTCTCACTTCTTCTTGCGTGTCAGTCCCGGCCATTGTCTTCTCCAAGCCCTCTTCCTATGCAGCCTCACACATTCATACCACTGTAATGACCACCTGACGCTGATGACTCCCAGACTCGGGTCTTGAGCTAAAATATTGCCCGTGTGTTCCAGACCTGGGTTTTAACTGACCACCTCATATCTATCAAATACCTCTAGCTCAGCTCGAGAGATCTGCTTGTCTTCCACGAGCGTATGGTGCGGGATATGCAGCTGGCTTGCCCCCACCAGTCCCAGGCGACCACCCAAGCCTTTCCTGTCTCCCCACACCCCCACCCTGTGAGTGGTTTCCTAAATGGTCCCCTCAGGTAGCAGGAACCTCCTGCCCTAGCCCCCCCCTTCTTCCCGGCGGGGCTCTCCTACATCTGTCTACCTCTCTCCAGCCGTCTGCTCTCTCCTGCTCAGTCAGACACAGGTAGCTACTGCCCCTGAAATGGGTGGAGTCATGCCCCTTCTGATTGTGCCGGAAGGACTTTCCCATGGCTCCTCCTCAGGCCCCCCACTTCTGCATGTCCCCCAACCCATGCCTTGTCCTGGTTAGATCCCCTCGCAGCACCCCCTCCCCACCCCGATCTTTGCTTGGTTCTTTGAGAACCCCAAGCTCAGTTCCTTCTCAGGGCCTTGTCACGTGCTGCCTCATCAGCCTGGAACCTTCTCTAGATGGCTGGTCCTGCCCCTCAGGGCTTGGGGCACATGGTTCCTCCTCATTGAGCCTTCTCGGGGGTTGGGGACACTCTAACACAGGGCCGCCTGGCACACACCATCCCACCTCGGCCCCTTGTTTCCAATGTCGCACCTTTCAAACTGATCCTTCTTTTTTGTCTCCATCCTTTTGCTGCCATGAGACATACTAGGATGTAAGCTCCGTGAGGGTCAGTTTACTGTGCCCACAGAGGGGACATCTGATACGCATTGACTGAGGGAGCCAATGTGTGAATGGTGTCCTGAGATCTAGCCTTGGCGGGGGGTGAGGGTCTCTGTGGGGAAGCTGTCATTAATAGGGGGACAGGACCGCAGCACTGCCCTGATTGTGTCCTCAGATGGCCTCTAAGTAGCACCTGCCTTTTCTGCCATAGGTCAGAAGCCAATGACCTGGCCCTGAGACTGGCCCGCCAGTACACGGGACACCAGGATGTAGTGGTGCTGGACCAGTAAGTGCCACTCAGCCTGCCCTTTCCAGAGCTACGTGACCTGCACACGTGCTGGGGGTGGGGAGATGCGACCTTTGGTGTGTCTTAGCTCAAAAACAGAGCCGGTAAGACACACAGAAGGCCCCTGGGTGGCCCACCTGCTCACTAGGCAGTCTGTCCTCAGCAGCTAAGTCTGGCAGTTTGAACCCACCCAGAAGCACCTGGAAAGAAAGGCTTAGTGGTCAGCTTCCTTAGAGATCAGGGCAGGAAGCCCTGTGGAGCAGTCTCCTTGGCTCCCTGGGGGTCGGAGTCAGCTCGGCTTTTTGTGGTTGCTTTGTTTTTAAAGATTCAGAGAGGGAGAGGAGGGAAGAGGGAGAGTGATTTTTGTGATGCGATTGGTCACTTGGGAGTCCAAAATCTGTAGGTCAGGTGACAGGCTGGAATGAAACACCTGGAGGCTTGGGTCCCAAAGCCCCACAGAGCAGGGGCGGGTCAAGGGATTCTGGCCAAATGGCTATTGACCCCAGAGGGAAGACGCTCTTTCCTCCGGCCTCATTCAACTGATTGGATGAGGCCCGCCTACATTGTGAAGGGTCATCTACCTTAGTCACTGACTGACTTCCTCCCTTGTCACTGCTCCTTGGAGTCCCTGGTTGGCGTCATGGTTGCCATGCTGAGCTGCTTACTCCACCGTTGGACTTGTGAAAAAACCAGCCACTGTCCCACGTGGGCCCTCCCCGAGTTGGGGCCCACTGGACAGCAAATAGGGGCTTTCTTCCCCACTTTGTGACATTTGGACTACTGCCGACCAGCAACTGAGCCCTATACTTAGCCAAACTGCTACCTAAAATTAACTATCCCAGGTGCCTTAGACCAGGTTGGGGAGGGGGGCACCAAGGCGGAGGCAACAGAGACCCCACAGGGCTCTTTCTCTGTGTCACACCGTTCTACAAGGGCACCTGCTGGGTCATGGAAGGTGAAGTTTGTCCACTACCTTCAGCATGCAAAAGCTGCCCGAACAGCTGGAGTTAGCTATGCCCGAGTTGGCTCCATCACACAGCGACCCCTGGGCAACAGACTAGAATGCTGCCCAGGTCTGTGCCCCATTGGCATGTCCAGGAGTGTGCAGGTCCATGGTTACTCCGAGCACCTCCCGGGAGTGCTGGGTGTGACTCACAGGTTTTCATTGGCCGACTTCTGGAAGAGATCTCCAGGCCTTTCTTCAGCGCTTGTGTGAGTCTGGAAGCTCCGCTGGGACTGTCCACCATGGATGGCCTTGCTGATGTGATAACACCGGAGCAGAGCCCCGGGCATCTTAGCAATACACAAACTCAGGCAATATGAGCGCAGCCCTGGTGGTGTCGTGATGCATTGGGCTACGAGCACATGGTCAGTTGTTCCAAGGCTTTCTACCCCTGTCAACACTTAGTCTCGGAAACCCAGAGGGAGGTCGCCATGAGTCAGCATTGACTGGGTGGCAGTGAGCTTGGATTTTTTGTAAGCAATATGACAGACTGACAGTGTGGTGGGTCCCAGCAGCACACCTCTGCATTGAGTTTCTGATGTAAAAGAAGCCCAGGGCCAGGCTCAGAGCCTGATCACACTGCGAAGACTCAGTGTGAGCCACGCCCCACGCTGAGTCCGATGGAGCGCCCGAGGACTGAAGGGTCAGCCTCTCCTGAGTGTCTTCGGAGGTGGGCAGAGGCGTCCACGAAGCTGGGGCCTGAGCCTGCCTCCCTCTCCTCCCCAGTGCGTATCACGGCCACCTGAGCTCCCTGATCGACATCAGCCCCTACAAGTTCCGGAACCTGGACGGCCAGAAGGAGTGGGTCCATGTGGTATGCACTGCCTGTGTTGGCAGCAGGTTGGGGTCCACCTCCGCCCCCGGTGACATGGCACTGTCACTCCCCACAGGCACCACTCCCAGACACCTACCGGGGCCTCTACCGGGAGGACCACCCCAACCCCACAGAGGCCTACGCCAGCGACGTGGAGCGTGTGATCAACAGTGCCCGGGAGAGGGGTCGGAAGGTAACTCTCTTGTGCCTGAGTGCTGCCAGGCCACACCCTCTCTGTGCAGTCAGAGGCCCAGGGGGCCCAAGCCAGGCTGGCATGGGTGGGTGAAGGAGAAGCTACTAAACAGAAGTATCACAAGGGCAGGTGGGCTTTCTTGAAGAGAAATGTATTATCTCCCGATGTCGGAGCCCAGATGTCCAAGTGAAGGGCGCGGCCAGGTCAGTGCCTTCCTTACAGGTTAGCTGGCCAGCTCCCCTCCTCCACCCCCGCCCTCCTTTTTGCTAGCACAGAGGCGATTAGGCTTAGACTCCAGCGACCTGGCATGACCCACTCAGGCACTGAGTTACATGATGCACCAGTGCACTATAGGAAGTGGTCAAGGTGCACCGCCCAGTATCACATGGGGGGAGGGGATTCCAAAGCATATTTGGGGGGACACAGTTCAGTTTGTATCAGAGGTGCTACCTGATCTCAGTAATGATAGGTACATAGGGTTGGCGAGTAGAGGAAGACTTGCTGGGTAGAGGGGCGCAGCATGTCGGCTTGGCCCCAGGTGCTGTGGGCCCCAATCCCCCTGAGGGAAGACACCTTGAGGCTTTGAGGAAAGGACAGTAAGACCAGGCTGTGCTCTAGGGCAATCGCTCGGGCTGGGCCTGTGTGGAAGGTGGGGGGCATGGGCAAGTGGGAGCTGAGGACCACAGACAGCATCATGGAGATGGGGCGGAAAGCAGACACACACACCAGGGCACCAGGTGGCCATAAGTCCCTACTCACTGAAGGATGGTAGCCGTGCAGCCTGCAAGATGCCGTGCCCCAACAGGACCACCTGGACTCGGGCCAGCAGGCCTCTGGCTCACATGCTCTTTACCCAAGCACATAAAAACGGTGGACAGAGAATTGTTCTAGTCTCTACAGGGAGGGCGCCCCATTCCTCACCCTGGCAGAGAGGCCTGAGTCTCCTCCAAGGCAGGGCACAGTGCACAAGTCATAGGGTGGCCCCCTCTGGTGGCGTGAAGAGCTAGGAGGCAGCTGCCAGAAGGCAGGTGGGAGCGGGCAGCTCTGCCGCGAGGTGGTGGGGAGGAGCAGGCTTTGGAGAAGTCACAGGAGGAGTACCCTGGGGTGGGGGACTGAGTGGATAGGGGAGGAGGGGGATCAGGAATGGGGACCAGGTTTCTGGCCTGAGAGGTGGACAGGAGTGGTGCTGGTCGCAAAATAAGGAATGGAAGGGAAGGGCAGTCGTGTGGGGAAGTCGGTACATTCAGTGTGGAGCATGCTGGGTCCAAGGGGCCTGGGAACATCCCAGTGGGACACCTGGTTTGAAGCCGAATACAACAGCACTGCAGCCCCTCCATTTGCTGTGGCACCACAGTCGGGCTCAGAGGGTCCTCCTTCGACCCCCGCTGAACCGGGCGCCAGGGCTCCACCAGGTAGCTCCTCATGCCCCCTCTCCTCTGTCCACAGATGGCAGCCCTCTTCGTGGAGTCCCTGCCCAGTGTGGGGGGGCAGATCATCCCCCCGAAAGGCTACTTCCCCAGAGTGGCTGAGTGAGTAGGTGGCAGGGGGTGGGGCTTCCCAACCTCAGCCTGGCTTCTCTGCCAGAATTTTGAGGAAACCTGAATTCAGAGCCTCTCGGCCCAACCCCTCCCCACGGCCCTCTGTCCTCTGCCTCAGACACATCCGCAGGGCCGGAGGGGTCTTTGTCGCTGATGAGATTCAAGTTGGCTTTGGCCGAGTGGGAGAGCACTTCTGGGCCTTCCAGCTACAAGGGGAAGACTTTGTCCCTGACATTGTCACCATGGGCAAGCCCATTGGCAATGGCCACCCTCTGGCCTGCGTGGCCACAACCCAGGCAGTGGCAAGAGCATTTGAAGCCACAGGCGTCGAGTACTTCAACACGGTGAGTCAGAGAGGGCCCCAGGGCAGGGCCCCCTGGGTCTGCCCAGCCGGGACAGCCAGCTTGCCCCACCTCCCGGGCCCCTCGTGTGCGGGTACTCCTGGGGCAGCTGTGACAGACTCGCGTGGGTGGCTTCGAAGAATAGCAGTGTGTTTCCTGAGAGTTCCAGAGGCCTAGACGGCCAGCTCAGGGCTCAGCTGTGTTGAGTCCTTCCCTGTCAGGTATGCCTCAGTCCTTGCTGGCTGACAGATAACGCCTTACCTGAGATCCTTCTGCTGCACATGCGTGCCTGTGCGTCTGATCTGCCCTTTGCATAACTGAAGCCTACTTTGGCTTAGCACGACATACCCTCCTCTGGCATGGCTGCCTTCCTGTAACAAAGAAACCCCCCTTTCCAATGGGACCGCGTCCAGAGATGCAGGCCTTCTTAGGGTTCCCACACCCATTTGGAGGGACACAATTCATGTACACACTGTCTTTGGGGAGCTGGTAGTCAGGTCACAGGCACACAAAATAAGTTTTTAAATCCTAGCTTCCATCCCTAAAGTGTCACAAAGGTTCTTGCCATTGAAACATTCTTAGCAAGCATGCAAGAATCCCTCCCGTCTTCCAGCACAATCTGCCTACTGTGTCCCGACCCCAGAGGGAAGGGAGCTATGGGAGGTGTCCAGAGTGGTCGACAGACTGTATCTGGGGCAGCATGCGCGTTACAGGAGCTCCTCGGGGAGGGCCAGCCCCTCGTCTTGGGGCCCGGGGCTGCAGCGCTTTCCCTAAGTGGGCCTGTTCGGTGGTCATGAGAGAACGAGGCAAGGGGTGGTACATGGGCTGCCGGAGCATTGAGGGGAGACGTGCCCTGGAGCACACTTTGAATGAACAGCTCTCTGACAGGCTGTGCAGAGGAAGAACTAGAAAATGGGAAGTGCTGGGTCTGCCAATAGGGGAGATGCCCGAATCGGGGCACAGGAAGACTCGGGGAACTGTGAGAAAGAACCACGTAAGGCAAAACAGTGTGAAGTGGGAGTTGAACGCTGTCAGGATCAGCAAGGAAGATAAGGCGGAGACGGCCATTAAGGGGAAGGGAAGTGACACTTGGGCTGTGACAGAAGGCGGGTGCTTTCAGCAAAGCGCCACTTAACTGCCTGGAGCCTCTGCCCTGGCATGCGCACTGTGGGGGGAGACAGACTCAGACACGTGATCGCCAGTGTGGACAAGATTTGTCGAGGTAGTGTGTTCTCATGCAGAAGGTCGGGCCGGAGCTGAGGGTCAAGGATGAGGAGCAACAGACAGCTTGGTGGAGCGTGATCCTGATTCTTATTGTTCCATGTTTTCCTTGAATTTCGAGTGGGTCTAAAGTGGCACCTGTGTGCGGGATTGAGACGCCACTTCCTGGTTTTAAACGATGCGAAGCCATCTGCTGCTGCTTCTGTGACATGCCTGCCTGTTCGTGGGCTTTGCCCACCTCTCAATTGCATACTAGTGTCTTTCCTATTTATTTGGGGGAGGCTTTGTTTGTGCATGTGTCTGCGTGTCTTGTTGACTAATCCTTTTTCACTTATGTTTTAATAGTTTTTTGGCATATACTTCACATAGCATATAATTTAATTGTTCAATCATATTAAGAATTGTGCAAGCATCACCACAATTCCAAAACATTTTCTTCTTGTACTTAGTGTTGTTAGCTCCCCATCTCCCCTCATCCTCTCCTGCTGTGCCCCTAGGAAATTAACAATCCAGTATGTCTCTCTAGATCCACTTAGCCTGGATTTCATACATAGAAAATCACATAACACAGGAAGCAAGCAAGCAAACAAAAACCCTAACAACCATGACTAGACTAAACAGGGCAACCCAAAGCAAAAAGAATACAAAAAATATAAAAAACTGAAACAGCTTTAGAATGGGTCAGAAGGGAGAGCAGATGATTAGGTATTATTACCTTTTAACCTTAACGCCATCTGCCCTAATGGACTTTACAGTGCTCTGTCTGAAACCAAGGCTAGTCACAGCCCTCGACCGTGGTCAGAGGAGATCCATCACAGGCTTAATCCAGGTGGGGACCCTGCGAATGGATTTGGGGCTTCCACTGCCTTCTGCAAACTGAATGTTCAAAATTTAAGCTTATTACCATTCCCTCCTTCAGATTTGAATTTTATTATTTCCAATCTTTGGATCATATAACCTGGTATGCTTCATCTGTATGGACTTAGTTGATGCCTCACTTAAATGGCTGCTTCTTTGAAGATAAGCCTCTAAAACCTCAGACACTGTTCTTTCTGATAGCCAGGCACCATCTGGTATCCATTGTATTTCAACATGTTCATCCAGTCTATTCGATCCTTTAATGATCATTAAATGATCCTTTAATCTTTCATAATTCTTTAATAAAGTTCTTAATTTTAACACAGTTAATGCCTGCTTTAAGAAATCCCTACCCTTACGTCTAGAAGATCTACATTTGCAATGAGATGTTTTGCTGCTTGGTTTCTGACATGTAAGTCCTTCAACCATCTGGAGTTTACTTTGTACAAGAGAGGAGTCTACTTTTATACCTTTGGTATGTGAAGAACATCTTCTTTAGCTCTCTTTATTCCATACTGACCTCATGTCCCACCTGTTATATAATCAAAGTTCCATTCAGGAGTGGGTCTGCTTCTGGACACTTTTCTGATGTCAATTTGTCGATCTGTGACTAAGTAAATGGCGCAAAGGCCGGCTATACCAAGAAGCAGAATCCAACTCCTCACCAGCCAAGGCCTACTGCCCTGAGGCCTTGGTTCATGCCTCCAGTGCCACTTTCCTGACCCTATTCTGAACCAGCGCCCCTCCCACAGCATTCTGCCACTCCACTGGCTCTGACAAGCTGTTGCAGTGGTAGCATAGAACGCACAATTAAGGGGGTTTATTGTTAACAGGGTATCACAAGCCAGATCCAAAACATAAGGATAAAGTCAGTGGCCCACAGCAACACCTCCCCTCAGCCAGCAGCCAAGGCTCTCCCCGGTCCTCAGCCTCTCAGCCACATGGTCCATTGGCCTCTGCCTCTGTGAACAGTAAGCCTGCCCACTGCCCTTCCTTAGTCGCAGTCACCATGCTGCTGCTCTGCTCGATCGGGTGGGTGGGTCTGGTTGTGTTGCTGCCTCTACCACTTCAGGCAGGGGGTTGCTGGTGGTGCTCCTTCCCTGGTGCTCTTGGGAAATTCTCTGTCCATTTCTGAGCTGGCTCGTTCTTATAGCCAAGGGGTGGTGGCAACTAAACCAAACCAGTCCCCTCTGTTAATGTTTCACGTATCCTATTTGCATGCTCCCACTCAATCAGTTGGTAGAGTTAGAGAGACGCATATAGAACACACATATTAAGAAATTTCACTTTATCTCAGTGCCTGTACTACATTTCATTACTAGAACAATTTTTTTAAGAGCATTTTTTTTAAGTACCCCCTTTTTTTTCCTTAGAAAAATCCTAGCTATTGCTGGCCCTTTATACTTTCATATACAACTTTTAATTATCTTTAAACATTTAAAAGAGAATGGCACTGAATCGGCAGATCAATTTGGAAAGAACTGAAGTCTTTACAATATTAAATCTTTCTATCCATGGAAACTACATGCCTCCCCAGGTTTTATAAGTCTCTCTAAGACGATCTCACACGCCGTACATTTATTCCTTCCATTTGATGTTGTCATACACAATGAGTCCTTTTTACGTGTCTGTTCTTTGCTACTGCTGTACAAAAACGGCTTGTGTATAATCTAGATCCTTGATACTAAATGCAAATAACACATGCCTTCTATGTTTGTTTGCCAATCATTCCTTCCCCACAAGAGGTCTCTTTGTAAACACTATTTAAAAAGATACATGTTTTTAAAAATATTTTTTTAAATGGGCATAATGGCACCTTAAGAAAATACTTCCCAGGTGGAGGAATTGGTTGACACACAAACATAAAAGGTACATGCTACTTGCATGAAAAAAAATTTATATTATCTCCAAATTATGACATTTGCCCTATTATACTGTGACACTTCCAATACATACTTGAAGACAAGTGGACATACTTGTTAAATTCCTAAATTTAACCAAGTGATTATATACTGCCCATTTAGGATGGTTGTGGTCTATGGTCATACCACCCTGAACGTGCCCGATCTTGGCTGATCTCGGAAGGATGGTTGTGCTAGGTTTTTAGTAGATATTATTTATCAACTGAAAAAAAAACTCCTTTTAACTTACTAAGAGGTTTTTTTATGACTAGGTGGTACATTTCCTCTTGTTCCTTTTATGCCTCTATCAAGATAATTAGGAGCTCTGGTGGCACTGTTGAATAAGTATTGGAATGCTAACTTTAAGGTCAATGGTTTATACCCACCAACCACTCCTAGGGAGAAAGATGAGACTGTTCCAAAAGATTTATAGCTTCAGAAACCCTATACAGGCCGAGTTGGAATTGACTTGGCAGTGGTGTGGGGGTTTAGATCTAGATTATTTTTCTTTTATCTCTTTTCATCTACATTATGTTATATTTATGAATTTTCTAATATTAAACCATTTTTGTTTACCTAGAATTAATCCAACTTGACTATTTTTATGTGCTATTGAATTATATTTTTATTTCTGATTTTGGTTATCTATTTGCAGGAGTAAACCATGACTCTTTTTTTATTATTACATCTTAGAGTTCAGTATCTAAGTCCTATGAACCTTGTAGAATGAGTTAAGGATTATTTGCTTTTTCCTCTTGCATAAAATTGGGGTGAATTATTTGAAAGTCTAGTAAAAATCACCCATTAAACTACCTGGGTCTTGCCTTTTCTGTGTTGGAAGATACTTGATTGCTATTTGGCTCTTTAATTTCTTAAGCTGGATACTTAGCTTTCTTCTTCCTTCCTATAACTATTGAATCTATAAGAAACCCTAGTAGCGCAAAATTGTTACCATTCAGCTGCTAACAAACGTTAGACAGTTCAAACTCCCCAGTGACCTGTGGGGAAAGACCTGCCAATCTA